TTTTTTTTGTCTGGTGGTGATTTTGTTTGCCTTGCATAGGGTCTAGAGGTCGAGACTCAGGAAAACAAAACGAAAAACAAATGAAAATAAGGGGACATTCAGCATCAGGAAGATTAAAAAAAAAAAGGTAGTTCTTCAAATGTGACACGACGAGTTCGACTCTTCCTGACAGAGGTCACAAAATAAATGTCTAACACTCTGGAAACGGTTCCATTTCCCTGATTATCAGAAATATTAACTCCGAAAGATGCACTTTAAAAGACGAAAACAACAAGCAGAGCCCTCCATGTGTACTAATAACATAATAAATATAAATGTTACGAGGGCTTTAAATAAAAAAAACACAGGTGAAAAAGGAACATTTTCCTAAACTAACGTTAAAGACAGCAATAGGACTTAAAGGCTTGGTTGAACATCTACAGTTTAGTTCCTGTATTCTTCCTCTAAAACTAAATAATCTACTACAATGATAATAAATGATATAGATGATGATGATAATAATAATAGTAATAACAACAATGATAATAGTAAATCATTTCTCATTATTTGATCTGCAACTCTATTTCTTCTTCTTTTTTTTTTTTTGGTTGAAGCACAGCAAGTTGGAAAGTTCCTGTTTAAAGTTTCCACCTCACCACCATCATAAAGCCACTCAACCTGGAGCTGTGGCTGCCCCCTAACCCTAACCCTAACCCTAACCCAACTCCTTCCACATCCAAGTCGGCCATTTTGATTAGGTCATGTGACTAGCAGCTTTCTGATGGGTTAACGAAACTTTACTGTCTATAGGAAATCGGAAGATAAACGATGTCCTAACCCTAACCCCGAACCTAACCCTGAACCTAACCCTAACCCTAATCCTAACCCTAACCTAACCCTAACCTTCCACCCTTCATAATAGTGAGAAATAAATATTTTTTGTTTAAACTTATCATCCACTATTTTAACATAATATTATGTATAGAGTTTATTTCAGTGTTTAATTTAGATTAATTTAACTATTCTTAAATTAATCTCTATATTGCCATGAAGCAATTAAGATTTTCTTGCATGGGATCTTCCTATTGGGGATCTAATCAAAATGGCCGACTTGGATGTGGGGGAGTTGGATCTCCATCCTTGGCTTCCTGC